AGATTAGCCACTCTCAACCCTGCTGTGGCTAACAAGTTGGCAGCAGGAATTGGTGTGAGAGAGAAGAGGTGGCAACACCCATGAGTGTGCAGGGAATTATGCATAATTCAGTCTATCATCTCTATGCAGCAGCCATTGAAAGTATCCTTACTGAGCAACAATCTAAAAAAGTATTTGTCAGGTGAGAAGCTTCAAGAAAAAAGCTGAAATGCTGCTCTACAGAGCTTTACCCACATGGTACACAATGTTATAGAAAATGCAACTATTTCTATTTCTTCAACTGGCAAGGGGGTGTTCACTAAGCACCTCCTGGCCTACTCAAATATACATGAGTGCTAGTGAATAAATTGGAAGACATTGGGTCTTTCCTTTGAAAAGAGTGCAATATAAATATGAGCTTTCATAATTCTGTATATAACTTTACAAGCAATGAAAAGAGTCAGATTTAAGTTTAGGATGAGAATAACTTACTCTGAATTCAACATCTCAAAATTTGAGAGAATGCTGACAAGGGAAGTCTGAGGTACTATAATTTATTTTAATATCTTTCTTTGTTTTCAAATTATTAATTTATAATTCTAAATATAAGCCCAGCCAGTCACTTATAGCAAGCATCCTCATATGCACATTAGGTACTGCTTGTGACAGCACTTTGGTGATTTGATCCAGGCAGAGCAGTCTCAGAAGGGAGAGGGCCCAGTTCTTCTCAGGCTTTGAGAAAAGGTTGCCAAAATTACCAGTAGACACAGAAAAACAAAGATCAATAGAGAGAGAGAGAGATTCAGAGACAGTAGCCAGCAAAATACTTCAATAAATTGCCAAGTCCTCACCTCAAGCTATCTAGTTCAACTCCCTCAGCAACTGTTGAATCAGGTTCTAACTTTAAGATAAAAAAGCCCAGCTATTCATTTTGCTATTACTTTAAGTCAACTAATCTTAAAAGAGAGGAGTTGAGGTTGATCTGATTTGTTACTCTTAAATTAAAAAAATTATTTAGGAGCAATCTATAGGAATAATGAGAAAAATAATCTGAAAAGTAGGACGTATATTTCAATGTCAAAAGCAAGAAAGGAGTAGAAAGAAAGAAAATCAGGGATATAGGCAGCACTTGAGGAAGCTGCAAACTAAGAGAAAATGGTGGAATTAGGTAGGGGATGGAGAGAGGTTTCCTTCTTCCTCTCCTACCAAACTCACAAAACTTGATTTTTGTTTCCTTTTTATGTTTCAGAATCATGTTTTCTGATTTGGGTATAAAATAGCCCTTTACTTGCTACACCCAACAGCTTTAAGCTTCCTCTTGAGTAGAGTTCGAATGAAACCCATAGCACCATAAAAAATAATAAAATTGTCTATGCCCCTAACTCCACCAAGAGCAGCCACAGTAGAAGTAAGAGTAAGGAGGCCAAAGAATGACTTGTTTTAAGTTAGTATATGTATACCAGATGATAAAATTACTACAGGGAGGAAAGGCACTTTTAAAAAACAAAATTAAATGCTCCAGCAAATTCAATACATTATATTAAAGTTTACAGCTGAAAGAATATAAGGCTAATGAGGTAAAATTAGCACTGGCAAGAAGGCATCACAAAGTGACCCTGCAATTGAAAGGCTGTAATGTTCTTTGAAAATATCTCTCACTTATGTTAATCTTTGGCCGAACTGAGAGAAATACTCTGTGGACAACCAAAAGGAACCTTCCATCGCTACATTTTGCACATATTTCAAAATGGGGTACCAGCCAGTGTGGCTATTTTGTCCTTGGGTTCTGATTACTGGTGCCCAGACAGAACTCACCAGTGATTTGCTGACCATGGATAAAGGATTTTTCCCCCAAGATACTGGTTCAAGGCCTCCGGACAAAAAGTGTCAATCTATCTTGATCCCCAAGCAAAATTCTGCTGTACAAAACAGACAAACTGCTCCATGAAAGACAGTCAAAAAAATCTGCTTGATAACTGAGGAGGGGAAGGAGATGGAAAGGGGAGTTAATAAAATGACTTATTTTGAAATAACTAATAGAGCATGACAGGATTTGCCAATCTTGAAGCACCACTAAAATACTAGTTATTATGAAGACCAGAACCAAATACCAAGAGAAAATTTAAAGTTTCTTTTTGCATCTGGACAATTTATCTAAACCCCAACTCTAATTCCTGGACAGGCTCCCCTAAGCCTTATCTCCCAAGAATAAATATTTGTCATATTGTGCTATTTTCCAGAATATAAAGGACCCTACTTTTGTCAAATGGGACAGTGGTCAATTAACAAAGTTTTAGTCTTGTTTGATCTCTGAAAGAGGACAGTTCCATAAAATATCACCAGGGTTGCACACAAGCTGCAGCACTTTTTTATGATTCCTTCTGTTCAAACCACATGGTAAATTTAATAAGAAAGTAAAGACCACCTTCAGCCTCTCTTCTCTCCCCAGAAACACTGTAGATATATAAAAACATAGCTATTCCAGAAGTTACTAAAGTTTTAAAAATTTCCACCCTTGCAATTAACTAATGTATATGAACACACAAACACAATTGGAAAAGGGAGAAATCCAATAGGTTATTGGAGGCCTCTAGAATTTTGAGATTTTTAACTCAAAATTGGTCTATAATACATGCAATGCAGAGAAGGTGGAAGCTCTGGGTTTGGCTTTAAAAACAAACAAAAACAAACAAACAAAAAAACCAGACCCTTGCCTTTTACCAAATCATGCCTCTACAAAGTGAGGGGAAGAAAGAAAAAGTAAGAAAATGTCTATTTTTAGATTGGGATTGGTTGCATTCTGATGAAATTGGTATTTAAAAAAAAACTGAATCAAGGATTTTCTATATTTTAGAAATGAAAATTCTTTGTCAACCCACAGGACAGAAACAGCAATTTTCCTTTGCACTAGACTCCCAAACCAGTGCAGCAATCAGAAACCAGGAAAGATTCAATAATTTTGTACTTTGTTTGGATACTGAAAAATTCTCATTAGTTCAGGTCATTATTTTAAGCAGGTCTTTCTAATAGAGAGGTTTTTCTATTGAGGCCTGGGATAAAATCACCTACCTTACTGCACACCTGTAAAAATGTTTTGCTCTGGATAACCACTTCCTGAAAATTTCAGGTTATTTCTTGGAAGATACCTATTCCTTAACAAATATGTGGAATCACTCATTTACTCCCTGTTAACTGAGTTAGTTGGAGGAGGCATGCAAAAGAGGGAAGGTTCCAGTGACTGGGTTTAGCACAATAGTAGGTCAAGAAGCACCTTTGACATCCTCTGCCCCAGAAAAGTTCATAGAAAAAGAGGGCTCGCTGACTAGCTACAGCCCTTCAAAATCAAGTTAACCCTACCAAGTAAATCTGTTCTTATAAAATGGAAAATAACTTTTATGCCACAGTATAACCACCTCACAAAAATAAAAACAAACAAAATCCCCCCAATTAACAAGAAAAGACTTTGACACTATAAATAAACCCTTTAAAAATCCTGTAAGCCAAACCTTAAAAAACGCTAATGGCACGTAAAGCCTGGTAAGAAGCTGTTTCTTCAATAGCCCAGAAAATATTTTATGAAATTCTATCCTCCCCTCTCTTTTCTAACACTATACTATCAACCTTCCAAGAACAAAAGCATCAGTGAAAGAAGGCAAATTGTTGACTTTAAGTTGCCAAAGAAATTTTGTAACAGATATAGTCACAGCTATAGAAAATGCAGAACAATGCACAACAAGTCCATGGGGGATATCAGTACCCAACAAACCTGAGGAGTTAGTTCTCCAGTCAATATATTCCCTCCCTCACCAGGATATACTAATATCTCCATTTGCTGGGGCAAAAATCATCAACATGGTCTGCAAAAAGATAAACAACTTCGGTAAGGAAGAAGTTATAATAAGCAAGATGAAATTGACTGCCACTTTTCTCATTTTCTAATTAAAATTTTTGGGCAAGATTATAACTCACAGGTCCCTAACAGTTCTTATTCAGTTTGTTAGAGGTAACAGCTCATATTTGAAAATGTTCCTAAAATGAAGGAATATATTGAAGAGCCTAAAAGCAGATTTCTGAGCACACGGAAATCCTTTAAAACTTTTCCCAACACTTATAAATCAGACGCAAGTGTGGTTAAATTATTTTCTAAAAGAACATTCTCCTCTTTATAGATCTGATGCAAACCTGAAGTAGAGGACTGTGGGTTCGTTATAATCCACAAGAAAAAAAAAAACAAGCAGTTACTTCCAACATAGTTAACCTGTGTAACCTGTGAGGGCAAATCCTGCCCAGCGTTCACTAAGAAAGTTGTCCTTTGGTTTTCCTCTACCTTTGCCTGCTCTCTAATCCTGCCTGGTTAGATTCTCTGTGCTGACCTCCAGTCCTAGGGCATGTCCTTAATTGTTGCCAGGGAAGGAACTTCGCCCCTTCTTCATAGAGTTTTTAGAACTCAGAGACCATCTTGTTCCCCCTAATCTCACACTCCATTTTATGTCTTTGAAGGAGGCGGGCTGAGAAAAGCTTGGGCCAGTCATTTTTCCTCTAACCTGCCAGGACTGCCACAGGCTGGAGGGCAAACTGCAACAGACTCTAAGAGGAGAAACTGCCCATATTTTGTCCATGTTCACAGATTTGGGGGAGTGGAGGAGAAAAATTAGTGTAGGGCTTAGGGCTTTATTTCTGGTGGTGGCCCTTGCAACTGGATTTAAGTTTGGAGCCCTGGGGAGGCAGCAAGGATTTTAGGAGGCTGGGAGTAGAGAATTGTTATGGAATTTGGAAGGGCAGGAATCAGCACCCAGGGACTTAAAGGCAGTGATTGGGGCTCACAGTGGGGGTTCAGAGCACTAAGGTAAAATCTTAGGTAGGCCTAGAGTCCAGGTAAAGCTCCCCATTTAGGGCAGCCCTCTCTATGGAATCTTCTAGGGCTCTCTCAGTGGTAGAATGTTAACGCGAGGAGGAGAATATATACCCCAGAACGCATACTGACTCAAGGCTGAAAGACATTTCTAAATGGAGAAACTTACCGCATGTCCCCATAAGATCCAGAGTAGCTCTCCATCCAGGGGTTCATCTCGCTTTTGACACAACTAGGACTTGAATAGGGAACTCTGCTCACCATGCCGCCAGGATACCACGCATCAGATGGGGGGAATTCGCCTTCCTGGCCCGATAGCCCCTGAGGTGGCCGAGAGTAGCCATAGGGGGCTACAGCCCCTGCCTCGCCTGTGCTGCCGCCACCACCTCCGCCACAGGGCCCATACAACTGGCTTTCATCCGCTGTGAAGAGAGTGTGCCAGGAAGAGGAGGTAGCGGCTGAGGGTGAGCCTGAGCTGGGTCCCGCTGCACCCCCGCCGTGCAGGCTCGCCAGGTCCCCATAGCGGCACTGTGCCGCTGCCGCGGCTGCCCAGGCACTGCCATAGTCCAGCGAGTTCTCCAGCTTGATGCGGGCTTGAGGATGGGGAGCAGGCAGAGGAGGCGGAGGCCCGGCCAGGGCTATTGGAAAGTTGTAGTATTCGCGACTCTGATAAGTCGTTGCCTCTTCCAGTGCTCCAGACTTGTAGAGAGACAGGGTGGATGGTAGCTCAAGTGTTCCAGAGACTCCCGTTTCACCGCTGCCAGAACAGCCCAGATTCTCGCCTTCCAGCCCTTTGGGGTAAACTGCCTTGAATGGGGAATACTCAGAAGTCTCTTCAGTGCCCTTGCCTGGGCAGTCATCCAGCAGAGAACCTTTGCATTCTGCCAGCTGGGCGCAAGGAGTGGGACGCACAGAGGGTGGACCTCCCAGGAGAGGAGCATACATGCAATCCCCTCGAAGCTGTTCCCCAGGACTCAGATGCTCCAATGCCTCCACACCCAAGCCCATGGATACCGACACTGCCTTACACAACTCCTTGGCGCTGTCCGAGATGGTAGAACTGTCCCCTAGGTAACTGTCCTTGGAGGAGGTTGGAGCCCCAGCGGCTTCCCTCGCTCTCCCACTGCTGCTGCCTTCAGATACCACCTCCTGCTGCTGCTGCTGCTGCTGCTGCTGCTGCTGCTGCTGCTGCTGCTGCTGCTGCTGCTGCTGCTGCTGCTGCTGCTGCTGCTGCTGCTGCTGCTGCTGCTGCTGCTGCTGCTGCTGCTGCTGCTGCTGCTGCTGCTGCTGCTGCTGCTGCTGCTGCTGAAGGAGTTGCATGGTGCCGGCCTCACTCAGGATGTCTTTAAGATCGGCGGAGCAGCTGCTTAAGCACGGGAAAGTGGGGCCCAGCAGGGACAACGTGGATGGGGCAGCTGAGTCATCCTCCTCTGTAGGTGCTGGCGGCTGCCTCTGCAGCCCCTTGCCTGCAGCTGAGGGGACTCCAGGCTCCGGGATGCAGCTGCTCTCGGGGTGGCCCGCCAGGGCTGACTGCTGTTGTGAAGGCTGCTGTTCCTCCTCCAGGGCCAGGTAGCTTGGAGGGCCTCTGCTCTGGGCTTGGGGAGATCCATCCTCGCCCTGCTGCTGCTGCTGCCGGGGACTGGTCTGCTGCTGCTGCAACTGGGCGCCTGGAGGTGCTGCACTCACAGCCTCAGGGTGCCGGGAGCCCGGGGTCTGGATCACTTCGCGCACGCTCTGGAACAGGTTCTGGAAAGCCCCTCGATAGGTCTTAGACGGTGGCCGTGGGTAGAGTCTCCCCAACCCTAACTGCACCTCCATCCTTGAGCTTGGTTGAATCTTCCACCTAATTCCTTTATGCCGTTTCCCTTTCTCTTGCTGAGAAGAGTTCAACAGGCTGTGATGCGGTAGTCACTGCAGCTAGCTGACCACCTGCGGGAAGCTCCTGGGAAAGAAACTTGCAGGAATGACCACACAGAATCTCTCTGACAGCTTCAAAGTCTTGTGCAGTGAAAACACGCGTTGGACAAGGTCTGCCCTGGTAAGCTCACAGTCTATTCCTGAATACTTGGAGGATAGATTCAAAAGATACTCAAATCTTGAAAGGAGAGCGAGAACGAGAGCGAGAGAAGAGAAGAGAAGAGGACTCTCCGTCTTCCAGATTAAATGTCCACTGAAGCAGGTGCAAATAGGGACCAGGGTGGGTCTCCCCCCCCACCCCTTTGGTTTTGTTCAGGTTTGAATGTTTTTTGTTTGTTTTTGTTTTGGGCTACTGAAGACCTGATTGTCTTTTCATCCTTTGATCTTTGGTCCTGAAAACTGGATGGGAGGGGAGGGCATGCAGGGCGAGGTGGAGAGGATGTTGGGGGGAAATGGGGGCTCACCCCGAGTGCCGCCTAAGTAGCCAGGTCCTGGATGCAGTGCAGTAGCGTCTCTGAAATTGCCTGACTCGCCAGAGCCCTCTTTGCAACGCAGAGCTAGCTCGTCTGCTCACAGCCAAAGGGAGTTACCTCTCTGCAAACTCGGGCTGGCCGGGCTGGGCCAACCGAAGTGGGGGAGCGGGCAGAGGGGAGCAGGCAGAGGCAGCAGCAAGAGAGGAAACCCAGAAAGGGGTGAAGGGGTGGAAAGGAGGAAGACAAAGGCAACCGTAAGCCCTACCCCGTAATTTCCTCACTTCATCCGAATCTCTAGCAGCTTTTAAAAACTTCACCAAAGAGAAAAGGGTAGCTCCGGGAGGCTGCTTCGAAGCCGCCGCACAGCAAGAGGCGTTGGCTGTCTCCAGAGCCCAACCGGGGCTGACGTGGGGCGTGGGGCGTCCCTTTGGTTCCTGTCCCTCACTGGAGCGGCTAGCTTGGTCACTTTCCCTCTGCTGCCTCCTCTACCTCCAGGCTTCCTCGGGACCCTCTGGCTCTCCCAGCACAGTGGCTCCCTGGGATCTCAGAGGGGGCGCTGGGACATAGAGAGCAAAGCAACAGTTTGCGAATTAGGTCCCGCCCCCGCCAGGCCGGGCTCCAAGCCTTTCCACCTCCTTTCTCCCTCCCCTCCCGTTCTCTTTTCTCTCCTCCCCTTTCCTTTTCTCCCCTCCCCTTTCCTTTTCTCCCCTCCCCTTTCCTTTTCTCCCCTCCCGTCTCCTCCCCGCCCACTAATGCTGAGTGGTTTTGGAGAAACAAGTGCTGGGGCAGCGTGGTGAAGGCAGGAGAGAGTCGCTTTAGCCCAGGAAGACCTTAGCTCCCTGAAAATCTCCTGCTTTCCCGGACCAGGTTTTAGGTGCCAGGCCTGAAGTGTTAACCCGGAGCTTTATTTTGAGGATAGGGTTAGCAGAACTCCCAGGGGCCAACATTTACCAACATTTACCTAAATCCATTCACAAAACAGATACAGTAAGCATGTGGGAGGGGCAATAGGAGTGTCAGCTCCTTAAACTAGGGATTATATTCACTGTGAAGTGCTGACTTGAGGGTCTTCTGCAAATTGTAAACAAACTATGGCCAATCCAGCAGATACCTGTTGAAACCTTTCAGATTTCTCCATAGGGGTAGATTGGGCTTCATGGCATGGTACCAGTTGCTCTAGGAACCCTCTGCCTGGAAACCAGAGGTCATCTCTACCCTCTTTTCTTACCTTTTCTCTGTCTAGAATTGCCTCTAACAACACACTTCTCACCTATCCAGATGTGCAAAGGCAAAATAACCCAGATAAGCAGGCAAACACACAAACACCAGAAACACATGTCACATGCACAGGGATCTCAGTTTTGTCCAGGATTTTGCAGACATTTGCTTATATACAGGCACCCCTTTTTCCAATTTGTTTTTGTATATTTTAAGCTTGAAAACTGCACTACTCAAAGACTGGAACCTACATAGGACTGCTTTTCTTCCTCTTGATGGACAGCCAGAAGTGAAGGATGGCAAGGGATACTACAATTGCTCATAGTCCCTGTGTAAAGATGGAGAGGCAGGTGGGAATGAAATAGTATGGAAAGGTAAGACCTATAGGGAAGGAGGTTCCCTTTGCATCAACAGGGGCTGTGTGCTTCCCTAGCTTATACATTTCTTAAACCTTTGGGCTGGGTCTGTCTGTCCCAGACTTGTGGAGATTTTACCTAGGCCCTCTTCTACTTTTTACAGGCTTCTACAAAATATTTATATTGTTAATAGCCAAGCATCATAGGTATTTACTTACCCTGACCAAAGGAGGTAACTTAATCCTAAAGGCAGAGGAGAATGGGCATGGTCAGCTCTAGTTTCCAGATGAAGACACTGAAGTAAGGACACAATTTGTTCTATCTTCCACATTAGTAGAACTTAAACTAGTCTTCCATCTCATTGATATTTTAGCTAGACTCATCAATGTCAAGGGCACTTGGGAAAGGGCTATAACTGAACTTTAAAGAACCCAAAGGCCTGAGAGCTTTTCATCTGAGGAGGTGAAAAATTGTCCCCTGGGATTTTAATGGTCTCAACCTTATCTGGATATATCCCAAATAGATCCCTTTTTCTTGGAGAGGAATCTCACAAATCACTCCTTATGGTAAAGAAGCAGCCTATTCATGGAAATATCAGATTGTAACAAGACTAATTCTCAATTCCCTATTGTAATGGGAAACAGGAATATGTAATTGAAATGCAAATGCTTTGAAAACCTATTATAATAGGTGGAACCTCTAGCTTCATCAAAGCTTTTAACTAAGGTTGCTCACAAGTAACTGGGCCAGCTGGGCTGGCAGGAAAGTAAAATGGAAATAACATAGGTCTCAGAGCCATGAGAACTGCTTGTGTACAGACTGACAACTAGACTTTATCTCACTCAGCTTCAGTTTCTTGCTCTGTAAAATGGGGTAAAAAGGGACATAGAGGCTGCACCATATGGTTTTTCTAACACTTAGAAATTTAGAATGCTGTGAGTGACTTGAGTTTTCTTCTTGTTTACACCTATTATAAGATAGGTATGGAAGGGATTGCTAATGGTAGTAAAATGACCAATTGACAGAGGTGAGGAGGGTAGTTACAAGCAAAGAAACCTGAAAAGAAAAGATGAGAAATAATAATATAAATATTTGCCCATTAAAGAAATGACAGCCAAAAGACATTCAAACCCATTTGGAATAATTTGAATTATTCCAAAGTTCATGTTGCTTCCACAGCATGAAAATTGTTTTCACAGTTTTCTCATCAGAAAATAGTGGCCAATAATATATATTCTCAAAAGACTGATGTGATAATTAAAGGAGATCATGTATATGGAACAACTTTGTAAACAAGAAAACATACAAATCTGAAGGATCACTTTGTTACATTTTAATTTTTAAAGGTGATGCTATCAACATTTAGATCATGGACAGGAAAGACTAACTATTGTGAACATAATAGGTGCATATACTTGATTTTGAGTTTATAACTGTGATCTCCAATCTTAAATCTTATATTCCTGCCCTTGCTTTAAAATCAAGAGGGACTGTTGAAAAATATTATGTAAATTACTAGAGGCCTGGTGCACGAAATTCGTTCATGGGTATAGTTCCTAGGCCTGGCCTGCAATCAGGGCCATCTTTCCTGGCTGCTGACAGCCAGCCCCGCCCCCTGCCGCCACCCACCCCGGGTTCCCCATTCGCCATCAGGCAATGGGAGCCTGCCAGTGGGGGTAGGGACTGAGAGGTCAGCTGTTTCCCTCCTGCTCACTGGCCCTGCACCCACTGCAGGTTACCCTCTGTGTGTGGGCCCCACCCTTTGACCAGAGGGGCAGAGGCCTTGGCCTGGCACTGCCCGAGTCCCTACCACCTACCCCTGTTTCCCCGTTCACCATCGGGAGATGGGAGCCTGCCAGCCGGCTGGGGCGAGAGACTGAGAAGTTGGCCATTCCCACCCACTCAATGGACCTGTCCCCGCCGCGGGTTGCCCTCTGTGTGTGGGGCAACCAGCAGGGCAGAGGCCTTGGCCTGGCACCACCCATGTCCCCCGCCACCCACCCCTGATTCCCCATTTGCCATCAGGAGATGGGAGCCTGCCGGCTGGGGGAAGGGACTGAGAGGTGGTCAGTGCACCTCATAGTGACTGGTCGAGCCGTCATTCTGGTCATGCCACTGTTAGGGTCAATTTGCATATTACCCTTTTATTATATAGGATGTGCTTGTACATATCACCTTTCTTCTCTTTCTTTCTTTTTTCTTTTTTAAATCTTTATTGTTGAAAGTATTACATATGTCTCCCTTTTTCCCCATTGACCCCTTCTAGCCCGCCTCCTACCCCACCCCCCATTCTTCTTCTTTCCTTTTATTTTTAGCAAGTAAGTAACCAGTGATGTCCTTTCAGAACATTCCAGTTGAGAGTAAGTTTTTGCCATGAGCTTTCTCTGCAATTTCAAGGGGTCTTTGTTAATGGAATTTTCCCTAGCTCCTTCCTCTGTAAAGCGAAGATGAGCTGATCTTTGGAAAATGGTGGACATTCTCCAAGTCCTGTGGGTTTTATTTCCTATATATCTCACAAATCTTCCCATTTCTATTCATCTCTGGCACTGCCAACCTAATTCAAGGCACTGGCCCTTCTCACCTGGACCACTGTAAATGGTCTCCCTCTTCCATTCTTACTTTCCTAGAGTCAGCTCTGCATTGAGAAGACAGGGATTTTTAAAAATGAAGATAATTTTTAGAGCAATTTAAGGCTTATAATAAAACTGAGTGGAAGGCACAAAGATTTCCCACATACCTACTACCCACACGTACATAGCTTTCCTCATTATCAACATCTGCTACCAGAGCAGTGCATTTGTAACAATTGATGAACCTATATTGATGCATCATAATACCTGAAGTCCATTGTTTACATTAGTGATTCTCTTGGTGATATACATTCTATATGTTTGGACAGATGTATATGATATGTATCCATCATTATGGTATCATACCAAGTATGTCCACTGCCCAAAAAATTTGTGCTCTGCATATTTATCCCCCACACCCTCTGGCAATCACTAATCTTTTTACTGTCTTCATAGTTTTATCTTTTTCAGAATATCCTATAGTTGGAATCACACAATATATAACCTTCCAGATTGACTTCATTCACTTATTAATATACAGTTAAGTTTCCTTTATGTTTTTTCATGCCTTGATAGCTCATTTTTCAACACTGTATAATACTTTATTTTCTGGATGTACCACAATATATTTATCCATTCATCTACTGATTGACATCCTGGTTGCTTATAAGTTTGGGCAATTATGAATAAAACTGCTATAAACATCATGTGAAGGTTTTTGTATGGACACAAGTTTTTAACTCCTTTGTGTTAAAATACCAAGAAACATAATTGCTGTATTTTATAGTGTTTATTTTTGCAAAAAAACACCAAACTATCTTCCTAGTGACTGTAGCATTTTTCTTTTCCACAAGCAATGACTGAGAGTTTCTGTTGCTCACATCCTCATCAGCACTTGGTGGTATCAGTGTTCCAGATTTGGGTCATTCTGGTAGTGGTATCTCATTTTTTTTTAGTTTACATTTCCTTGATGACATATAATGTAAAACATCTTTTCATATACTTTTGATATCTGATTATCTTCTTTGGTGAAGTGTCTGTTACAATCTTTGACCCATTTTTTAATCAAGCTGTTCATTTTATTATTGTTGAGTTTTAAGAGTTCTCAAAATATTTTGGATAACAGTTTTTTATTGATATGTCTTTTGTGGATATTTTCTACCAGTCTGTGGTTTCTCTTCTCATTCTCTTGGCATTGTATTTTTCAGGGCATACATTTTTAATTATTTTTATTAATTATTTATTTCATGGATCATGCCTTTGGTGTTGTATCTAAAATGTCATCACCACACTCAAGGTCATCTAGGTTTGCTCCTATGTTGTCTTATAGGAGTTTTATAGTTTTTCATTTTACATTTAGGTCTGGATTTATTTTGAGTTACTTTTTGTGATGGATGTAAGGTCTGTGTCTAGATTCCTTTTTTTTCCCTTTTTTTTTTTTATTTGCATGTGATGTCCAGTTGTTCC